GAAGGGAAGGGAAGGGAAGGGAAGGGAAGGGAAGGGAAGGGAAGGGAAGGGAAGGGAAGGGAAGGGAAGGGCAATATTGAGGTAGCTTTCTGTCTTTGCAGGCTTCATCCAAGAACAGGTATTTGAATGCCAGTTGGGACTTGCTTTAGGGCTGAGAGGTGGGTGGAATAAAATTGCATAGATAGGCATACATTTTCATGCAACTAGACCTTGCCTTGAGAGTCCAGAATTCACCAGGGCTGGGCACATGTCCAAAGGGCTGTTTCCTTTGCTGAGGCTTTGATTAAGGCATCCCTTCAAAGCAAAGCAATGAAGTGGTGCCCGCCTTCTCTTGGGCAAGCTCAAGTGACATGCTTCCAGAAGGTGGACACCGGGCCAAGGAGCATCCACTTCAGAAGTGTAGTAGAACCTCTGCTTCCAGTTCCTTCACACAGTTTATCTTCATTACAGGGAATGGGAACAGCCCTGAAACTGCACCTGTTTGTTCTCTGTGCTTTTCCACAGCTCTCATTAATTTCACGGTGGCTTTCAATGCAGAATTCCTTCACAAATCTTTGCCCAGCATGATTAAGAAGTCAATGAAACACATATGTAGTTTTTAATTACTGTTGAATATATGAATGTAATCTCCCCTCATGTTACTTGCTCCTATAGCTTCATTCTACTTGAGTAGATAAGGGACATGGTTGCAGAAGCAGATGAATGGCTGGGTGGAACAAAGGTTGTTATTTGTCTACTCATTATTTCTGCCTTAGAAATTGAAGGGTGTCACAACAACAATGGAGGCTGCAGCCATATTTGCAACATGGTGGAAGCTGGTTATCAGTGTGAATGCCCACGAGGTCTTATTTTGTCAGAGGACAACCACACCTGCCAAGGTACAGGGGAAAAAAGGGATTTCATGTTGTGGCTGGTCTAGGGTAATTTATTAATTTGTTTATTTAGTAGATTTATATCCTGCTTTCTCTTCAGGAGCCCAAGACAACAACTATCATCTGGTGAGCTTCCAGGGTTGAGATGGTACATGAACCTAAATTTCAGTAGTAATTATTCTTATTGTTGTATTGCTACCTTATTGCTGTGCCCTAGCCCCATCCTATCAGAATGGAAATGCATTTTGAAAAAGCTGAATCAAAACATAATTTTAATCTGCAGATTATTCCCATTCCATTTTACCAGCCAGTCCAGGACTTGTAATCTGGTTCCTTCTGGATATTTTAGATTTCAGTTCCCATCAGCCTTCGCCAGCATGGCCAATAGCTAGAGACTATAGGGAATAGCAGCCTAAGAGAACTGGAGGACCCTGGTTTGATGGCTTCCTGAGGATGGTAGAACAGGTTGTCCAAGACATCTGGAGGGCACTGGCTTGAAGGAAGCTAATCTAATGGATGGAAAGAATGCCATGTTTGGGGGAAGTTAATATTAAAGGGCTGGACACTGCTTTTTATGAAGGCTATGAATTGCATATCCACACATATGCACCCAGTTTGATCATTGCAGAAGGGCCTGCTAATTGTTGCCCCACTTTCTGAAATATGTGGAGTGTGGATAAGGAAATAAACAGGATGTTTTGGGTTTTTGTTTTAATTGTACACCTAATTGGGACATGGCTGAATACATCAAAAGGAGAGAGAGAAAGAGAGAAAGAGAGAAAGAGAGAAAGAGAGAAAGAGAGAAAGAGAGAAAG